CTTTTTATAGCCTAAGCAGTGTGCTATTTTAAACATGTGGAGGAAATGCATTTTCAGTTACAAACATTTGCTGCTGTAAATTTGTTCTTATTTGCTAGCAAAGGATGTGGGACAGGATGTTTTACTCTGCTGCTCTGGTTTTCCTGTATTGCTTAAATCTGTTTAGAGAGAAGAAAAATAAATAAATAAAGTGTTTCTGCTGGACAATTTCTATAAACTGAAGCAACTCCAAAAATTAAAATAAAAAGTCTGTGGAAAAAATATTAGAATAATTTTCTTTTAATACATTAGTTTATTCCTATAGATTTTTCTCCCTAAAAAGATTTTCCATAACATGCATGTGCAGCCTGCAGAAGACACTAATGTTGGCACTGATAAAATGTGCCCACTTAGACACCCCAGGTCAGCTGAATTCTTCCTGATCCTGTCTTTTCCCAAGCACAATTACAACTGTAGAAGCTTTTTGAAATGTAAGAAAAACAATCAGGCCAACCTTGAGGGTCATCTTCTAGATTTATTCAGAAATTCAAAGTATACTGCATCATAATTCAATGAGTCCCCATTTTCATATACTACTCTGAGGGCTTTTTTACTCAGGCAGACATATCCTTCTATCTGTTATGTTTCATTATTACTTTAAAAAAACTGATTTTGATCAAATTTCACTTTACCCCTTTATAAGGGAGTCAGTAAGTAGTTCATTAATCTACTGAAAGATATTTTATCAGTTGATTCCCTTTAAGCCAGTGGTCTCAACCTTCCTAATGCCGCGACCCTTTAACACAGTTCCTCATGTTGTGGTAACCCCCAATTTCATTGTTACAAATTGAACATAATTAAAGCATAGTGATTAATCACAAAAACAATATGTAATTATATATGTGTTTTCCGATGGTCTTAGGTGACCCCTGTGAAAGGGTTGGTCTACCCCCAAAGGGGTCGAGACCACAAGTTGAGAACCACTGCTTTAAGCCCTCCTCCATGCTGCTCTCTGCCCCAGATGCTGTCCTGGACGGGCAAAAGACTTTCTTCTGGATCAATGCTTAGTCAAGCTTCTGTGAGCCCTCTTCTCTACTAGGCTTCAGTCTTGGGCCTTGTCCTTGCTGGGCTTGCATAGCCCAGTTTTAGCAAGAATCCTGCAAAGTCAGTTTGAAGAGAATCCCCCATTCTTAATATCTGATCACTCTCATTATCTGATCGAATTCCTCATTTCCCACCTTTGATATATAATTCCTAGCCTGCCTTCAGCAAGAATCCTGTTAGGTAGGTTCAGCAAGAATCCCCCCACCCCTGATGTCTCCTCTTAGTCATATTCTACCCACTGATCCCGCCCCCTCTCATTCTGCTCCTTGGCTATGAATCCTCAGCTGTCTTTATTGTTTTTCAAAGTTGAGCCTTCTCTCTCTCCCATATTGTGGTAGTCTTAACATCCACTGCAATAATCCTGAGTAAGTCTTCCTTACCATTTAAAAAAGTGTCAGAATAGCCCTGATCAGTTTGGCTCAGTGTATAGAGCATCGGCCTGGGGACTGAATGGTCCCGGGTTTGGTTCTGGTCAAGGGCATGTACCTTGGTTGTGGGCACATCCCCAGTAGGGGGTGTGCAGGAGGCAGCTAATCGGTGTTTCTCTCTCCTCGATGTTTCTGACTCTCTGTCCCTCTCCCTTCCTCTCTGTAAAAAATCAATAAAATATATTTTAAAAATAAATAAATAAATAAATAAAAATAAAAAAGTGTCAGAATAACCTTTTCTTTCACAAGACTCAGTGGTCACTGGAGCATCTTGGCAAGAGATGGAAGAAGGGAGATCTGGGTATTTATTCCCCCAGAACCCCCTAAGAGGGCTCATCACTCAAGTGAAGGCCTCAGCTCCTGTCAGGAGGCCCTCTCTGTCTGTCATAACCTGCTCCCCCTCCTACCCCTTCAGGTCTAGGGGTGGTAATGGAGCCTCATTATTACCAGCCCTACAGACACCGCACTATTCCTATCCCTGTGGTTTTTCAGCACTTTGTGAGTTATTAAACTCTCCTCAAAGTATCCTAATATGAGGATACCATCTGTTTCCTGCTGGGTCTCCCTAATACAGATCTCATCTCTGCATCCCCCCCCCCCCCCCCAGCAGATTTCTTATCCTAGAAAGGCTGTTATCCCCAGAAAGAAAGGCATGGTTACAGGATGCAGTGATCTTTCCATGTGAGTGACTTAGTGACAAACAAGTTGACCTTGTTAAGCTGCCACTTCTCCCTTCTCTAGTTAGCTTCATAATCATAGCAACAGGGTATTTTCTGAAACATACTGATTCTCTAAGTATCAATAAGAATTATATTAAGAAATGCCCTGCCCTAGCCGGTTTGGCTCAGCGGATAGAGCGTCGGCCTATGGACTGAAGGGTCCCAGGTTCGATTCCGGTCAAGGGCACATGCCCAGGTTTGTGGGCTCAATCCCCAGTGTGGGGCATGCAGGAGGCAGCTGATCAATGATTCTCTATCATCATTGGTGTTTCTATCTCTCTCTCCCTCTCCCTTTCTCTCTGAAATCGATAAAAATATATTTAAAAAAGAAAAAAAAAAAAAGAAATGCCCAAGGAGGGCTCCCCTCCTGGGAGCTCACCTGTGCCTTTCCCTTTCCCTTTCCCTTCCCCCTTCCCCTCTCTCCCCCGCCCCACACCCCAGGCACTTTACCATTAGCTTCCCCACTCCCAAGTTCCAAGGGCCCTTCCTTTACCTCTAGAACTTATTTGCTAAGCCCATTTCTTCTAGGAATTACTTTTTCTACCTCTATAATTTACCAAATAAATGTTCTCTTTTTTTTTCACCCCCCCTCCCCCAAATAAATGTTCTCTTACAAAAAAAAAAAAAAATACCCAAGGGGGCTAGAAGTGACAATTGTGCTAGTTGAAACTATGCTAGAAACCTAAGCTAGAAGAACCTTTGCCTTTATATATATTTGGTACTTAATCCAGAGGTAATATTCATAGTAACACTTTTAATAAATGCAAGAGACATTACTTAATAAATATCGGTAACCCAAGTAGAAGCCTGCAGAGGCTAACTCCATATATAGTCTAAAGCAGGATTTTTTAAAATTCAGGTTGTAGTAGATTGTAAAATCAATTGAGTTATAACATTTTTTAAAAATAACACATCCTTGACATAATAACGTAAGGCAGAAAATCAGAGTTCATCATATATAGTAAAGGGAAATACTATTTCACTTTTTTACATACCTATATTTATGGGTGTACTAGGGTATACTGTAAAATGTATTCCTTACTTTGAGTGGCAGTCAATAAAGTCTGAAAGCTACCGGTCTGAAGAGAATTCCTTTCAAACAATATAATGATTATAAGGCTAAAAACATGTTGCTTAGCCCACAGCCTCACTTTTTAAAAAATCTCAACCCTCACTAAAAATAGTTTATTTTGTGATAAACACATCAATAACTGAAATAAAAATGTTATGAAACATATTTACTCTTAATATGTGATGTCCTCTAATATTTTTTATTCCATTTTATTTCTTTTAAATGATGATTGCAAACCACAGCTTAAAAAGTTCAGGGCCAGGCCTGGAGAACTCTGTTCACATACCATGGTCCTTCCAGAGCCGCCTTCGTCGGTGTTTGTATCACTCCCACTGTGGTAGCAAGCACTCCCTCCTTTCGCTTCCTAGGTTTCTGTGTAACTACTACATGACCTCTGCAACCCAGTTTGTCCAGCGAGAGAAACACTTGTAGTCAGAAGCAGATACAGAGCATGGCGCAGATGTGGACAGAGCCCCAGCCACATGTCCTCGCACTTACCACCATGGCATACCGTGAGAGCAGCACCTTACTACAGCCCCTGCAGCCCCCAGCCTGAGGACTGATGGGAGTTGGAGGATAAATATCCCAGCCTTTTCGCCCTGGCCATGTTCTTCACAATCTCCCTGAGTTCCTTAGCAGGACTGAATACCAGCCACCACCAGCAGCAACCTGCTGCATAATGCACCCTGCGCTGGCTTCCTTCCCACCCCTTCTCACCTCCCTACTGGGGCTTCCTGGAATCACCTCTCACATTAAAGACTTGCACTCAAACCTCAATCTCAGGGTTTGCTTCTGGGTAAATGTAACCCTAGTGAGCACACCCGTCTAACATAGCGTTGTTTGGAGCCAGGGCTGCAGAGATGAGAAAGGCCTGTCCTAGAAAAGCTCATAATCTGATAGAAAAACCAATTATTTTTTTAATGTAAAAAAACAACTTTGCTATTCATAGCAATGACATAAGTATGTCTGGGGAGGGAAGAAGCGGCAAACTCTGACAGAAGGGTCAGAAAAGCCCCTATTGGTGACTTTTCTACCCCAAACATCTCAAGGACACAGAGTTCCCCACAGGAGTCAGCAGGTGGTCAGTGCTACCTATACGGGGTGGTCCATGTTCACTTCTCTGTAGGCTAGTGCCCTGGTTTCTCACATCACTGTGAGGCTTTACTTCTTACATCTAGGTTAAGAAGAAAGAGGTTTTTATTTTCTCCAAAGAGAAAGGTTTCTATTCTAGTCTTCAGCTAAAAATAACTCAAGTAATATAGATTATATGAAGGAAGAAAATCTATTAAGTTCCTGAAAATGTGTTAATAGAATTATTTGTAAATCAGCTTTCATCTTTTTATGTTCCTTTGAGGTCCTTAGAGGATTGGAGAACACGACCCAAATCTTCATTAGATGTTCTGAAGAACTGCTGATATTTTTATTTGTAAGATTTTTTTTTTTTTTTAATGTAACGTTTACTACATGTTCAGCCCTGTGATCAACACTGTAAACCAGGACTTTTTTCAGACTGGTATCCAAGAGAGACCTTTGGCTAATTTTCCTTTGCATCTTCCATTTAGCAAATATTTCGGCAAAGGCAGAGCAGCAACATAATTCCTTCCCTTTCAGGAAAGGAGTCATGACAGTGGGTCCTTATACCGAAAACAGCTTCTCCAATGTGCCAGGTATACCTGGGCCTGGGACTAGAATACTCACCCTGACCCGGCAGGGAGTGACGCTAGAGTCGAAGGGATATTAGTCTGTGGTTTCTCTTTCTCATTTTGCTTGAGGAAGGATTTGGCCTCTTTAGATGTAGCATCCACCTCCTTAGTCACCCTGTGCCAAGGAAGGAAACATTAAGTTTACAAAAGAATTAAAAAGACAGAAACAAATCTAAATAAAGGGAATAAATGATAAGGAAAAACATCCACTGGGCTTTCAATAAGTTCTGGCTGCTAAGCTTTATGGTCCAAGTTTACTACAACAGATTTAACATTTAACATTCATTTAACATTTTCCCATGCTAAATGAAACAGCAATGCATATAAACTTGAACTCTCTAAAATCCCCTCCATTACTTCTGTCAGCATGAAACACTCCAGTAGTCACTACTGAATCACAGTCCTTGTGGGTTATTGATGTGAAGGCTGAAAAAGGCTCTCCTACTGCACCTCACATGTAGATTAGGACTCACATTTAAAGGCCTAGTAAAGCCCTAGTTGGTTTGGCTCAGTGGATAGAGTGTTGGCTTGCAGACTGAAGGGTCCCAGATTCGATTCCGGTCAAGGGAACATGCCTGGGTTGCGGGATTGATCCCCAGTAGGGGGTGTGCGGGAGGCAGCTGATCAATGATTCTCTCTTATCATTGATGTTTCTCTCTCTCCCTTTCCCTTCTTCTCTGAAATCAATAAAATATATATATATTTTTAAAGGCCTAGTAAAAATTGGAATGGGAAATGAAATATTTGGGAGAAAAATACTGGTTTTATTTCCAAGAGAAAAGCAACAGTATAAAATTTGAAAATACTCTGCAGAAGGTCCTATTCTACACCCAGAACCTAAAGATGAAACAAGATCCCTTAAAGCTGGCTAATTTGGCACTAATTTGGGAATGGAAGAAAATTATAGTTGAGAATCCTACCCACTTTCAAATCTGCAAAAATTGCCCTCAATAAAACTGATGATCAAATAAGGAGCAAAGAAGGATATTCATGGTGCCTGAAATTTCAGATAAAGAAAGAGAAATGCCTAATGCCTGCCTAGGCTTGCCAATTCAAAAACATCTGAGGAATTTTGTTTAAATTCCAATCCATCTGTAGGAGGGTGGAAAATTATAGTCATTGTGCTATGGGTGTTCAACCAGGTCATCGAGAATAAGACTGGCCAAGAATAATGACAGGCGAATCCTATAAATTCCATCTTTGCAGGAATGTAAGTCTCTATCTCTTCTCTCCTTCCTTGTAGGCAACTTAGCAGCAGAACCAAATTTTCTTATCAAGAGCCATCTCACTCCTGCACTCAGTACTGTGTCACCCACAAAAGTGACACAGAATATATAATTTTGAGAGTTTTATATTAAGAATCTTCACTGGGGAAAAAGAAAAAAAGGAAAGAAAAAAGAATCTTCACTGGGAAAGACTGAGGAGTTACTCTTGAAGAGTGACTTAAAAAACTCAGTCCCCTACTCAAGTTCTTGTGATGGCTCAGTATTACTCAAGAATCAAACATAAGCTGCTGAACCTTGCCTTCAAAGTCCTCTAAAATCTGGACCTACTTTCTATGAGGTTTGTGTCTTCTCAACTCTCCCAAACGAACCTCTCAGCAGTAAGAGTCGAGAGTCAAAACTAAGAGAAAGAATGTATATGATAGATTAAACCATCATTGAGCAAATATTCACTCCTTCCCTCTTAACCTACTTCCCCACCCCACTGATGTTAATCTTGGACACATGACTTGTTTCAGTAATCAGTCAGATGCTAACTGATTTGACAGCAACAGAAGCTTTAAATGTTTCTGTTGTTTCATGAGCCCCTTGACAATCTCTAGCCATAAAAAGAATATGCCTCAAGCAGCTGCTGGTCCAAGGTGGGTGAAAGACACATGCTGCAGATCTGAGCCAACCAGTGGCTTGAAGCCAAGCCTAGATCACCTGAGCCCCAGTCAGCCAGAAACACACTAGCAAAAAATAAATGCTTATTGGTGTATATCACTGAGTCTTGGGATGGCTTGTTATACAGTAGTTCCGCAGCAACAGCTAACACATTTACATTTTATGATTGAGAAAAATTAAATCTTCAGGGATTCAGTTAGTTTTTTCAAGAATAGTCAGAGATTAAGTAGCAATGCTAGAGAGAACCCTGTAGATGTGGAACCTATAAAAAAAAGACATGGCCTCTGCCCTTAAGGGGCTCACAGTCTATCAGGGCAGCCAACCATGAAAACAAGTATGACAATAAATGATCTAGAGTTAAGTGCCATTAAAGGAAGCATGGAAAAAGTATAGCCGTGAGAGTATCTCTGTTAATTTCCAGTGTCAAAGTCCTATTCATATTGACTAGGAAACACGTTCTATAAACTGGTGTATTTCTCTCAGGGTCTTTGCTAATTGACATAAAGTAGTATTAGCATAGTGGTTCTCAACCTTCTGGCCCTTTAAATACAGTTCCTCATGTTGTGACCCAACCATAAAATTATTTTCGTTGCTACTTCATAACTGTAATGTTGCTACTGTTATGAATCGTAATGTAAATATCTGATATGCAGGATGGTCTTAGGCGACCCCTGTGAAAGGGTCGTTCGACCTCCAAAGGGGTTGCGACCCACAGGTTGAGAACCGCTGAATTAGCAGATTACTCTTCATTGATAGTACACCTAAAAGAACTCCTTTTAACAAGCAATAAGAAGAGATCCAGCTATCAAATATCTTCAAGTAGGAGTGGTTTAAATTACAGACCACTTCTAATATATAAGAGGGAATCCTGACAGGAAAATGCCCACTATTAGCAGTAGTTAATTCAAGTGTTATCAGCAGAAATTACATTTTAAGTTCATTTTCACTTACTCAGAACTTCCTGAAAAGTATTTTTTTAGGCACAAACTTTCCATGACTAGCCTTTTCCAAAAGGTGAATCATTTAGGAAAGTCTGAGCTAACTGGCTCAGATGGTATGTGATAGGGAAGGATAAAAAATACTACTTTTCCTCATTCCCCTGGTTAATAAGCTACCCATTTTTCAAGTGTGTGTGTGTGTGGGGGGGGGGGGTAAAGACCCAAAATTTAACTATTAAAGTATAATTAGAAAAAACTAAAAGACTAACTTTGTACTAATGCTACCATATGCTTATACTTACAAATTCTTCCCAGTCATCACTAGTTCTTTCCCACATTTCTTAAAGATGTAGTAATGCTCTTAACTTCATACAAAAAGAAAAGGCAGAATGACATGAAGAGAGTAAAGATATGCTTGAATCGAGACACTACGTTTGCATCTGGTTGTCAATTACAATTCAGGCCATAGCAGCACAATTTACAATAGCTAAGATTTGGAATCAGCCTAAGTGTCCATCAGCAGATGAGTAGACTAAAAAACTCTGGTACATCTACACAATGGAATACTGTACTGCTGTATAAAGGAAGAAACTCCTACCATTTGCAACAGCATGGATGGAGCTGGAGAGCATTATGCTAAGTGAAATAAGTCAGTCAGAGAAAGATAAATATCACATGATCTCACTCATTTGTGGATTATAATGAACAACATAAACCAATGAACAAAAACAGATCCAGAGACAGAGAAACATTGATCAGATGCTCAAACCTCAGAGGGAAGGTAGGGGAGGGTGGGGGTAAGGGGGAGAGATCAACCAAGAGACTTGTATGCATGTATATATGCATAACCAATGGACGCAGACAACAGAGGTTGAGGGCAGGATTGGGTGGGTGAGGGGGGGGGGCCAATGGGGGGATAACCACACATTTGTAATACCTTAATCAATTAAAAAAAAATTCAGGCCTTCCAAGTCACTACATGAGAGTTCCTTATGATAAATTTAAATAGAATTTAAGTTAAAAAAAAAATCCTGCCAAATTGCTATTTAGTTTTCTTCAAAAGAGTTAGAGAATGCCCTGACCAGTTTGGCTCAGTGGATGGAGCATCGGCCTGCAGACTGAAGGGTCCCGGGTTCGGTTCTGGTCAAGGGCATGTACCTTGGTTGCGGGCACATCCCCAGTGGGGGGCTTGCAGGAGGCGGCTGATCAATGTTTCTCTCTCATTGATGTTTCTAACTCTCTATCCCTCTCCCTTCCTCTCTGTAAAAAAAAAAAAAAATCAATAAAATATAAAAAAAAAAGTTAGAGAACTTTGACTTGTCATGTTATATAGCTCTATAATGTATGTTTTAAAAGTAATAAGCATAGCCCAAACCGGTTTGGCTCAGTGGATAGAGCATCGGCCTGCGGACTCAAGGGTCCCAGGTTTGATTCCGGTCAAGGGCATGTACCTTGGTTGCAGGCACATCCCCAGTAGGGAGTGTGCAGGAGGCAGCTGATCGATCTTTCTCTCTCATTGATGTTTCTAACTCTCTATCCCTCTCCCTTCCTCTCTGTAAAAAATCAATAAAATATATTTTAAAAAAATAAGCATATATTACTTTTGAATGTTATATTTATGAAAAAGTGCTTCCCTATTTGTTGACAGATATGGTGCTGCCCTCTTGTGACAAATCATAGAAATAGCAGTCTCCCTGAACATCCATCCAGTATTTAAAATTGCCATTCATTTGCTTTAAATGTGAAATAGGAAATTTGTGTCAAACAACTTTGTTAATAAATAGTAGTAAGTCCATAAAATTTAATTTGATCAGGAAATTTAATGATTTCTCAAAATAACGGTTACCAGCTTTTCTTACTCTCATATAGAGCCAGTGGTTGTTATAATAAATCTTTCTTAGATGTCCTATATGACACATGGAAAATAAAGCAAATCTTATTTCTAAAGGTATATTAAACACTTTCAGTATTATTTTTGTAGGCCTTCCAAACCATTAAAGGTTTAACATCAGTGTTCTGCTACCCTCTATTGGACAACTCCATAGTTTCCAGGGTGATCTCTGGTCAAGAATGGATCTGCAAAATGACTGTTTAGCAAGGAAAAGGGTATTTTTACAATGGAGAATTCTGAAAGATATTGCCTTAAGTGGTCTAACTTATCACCACCAATACTGGGTGCAGCGAGGAGGAAAAAGCATCACCAATGTAGCATTTTTATCTAAAATTATTCATCTGACTCTACGCATGAGAAAACAATTCAACAATCCAAACTAAGGGACATTCTACAA